GCAAGCCTGTCACAGTGGCACAATTCTATAATAATCCCAGCAACTCAGGAGGCTGAGGTAGGAGGATTGCAAGTTGGAAGCCAGCCTCAGCAACTCAGTAGGCCTAAGCAACTTAGAGAGTCCCTGTCTCAAAAAATAAAAAGGGCTGGGAATGTGGCTCGGTGATTAAGCACCCCGGGGTTCAATCCCTGGCATCAAAAAATAAAAAAGGCAAAACCAGAAAACCCCCTCACTTCTGATCCATGAGACAAGCACCAGAATCCTCCTTATTTCTCAGAGGACATTAAAGAGGCTGGGACAGATTAGGTATCTTAAATATCAAGTCCAAGTTTAGGCACAGGAAGTGGCAGACCCTCAATTTTTTTTTCTTTTTTCTTTTTTGAGACAGAGTCTCCTTATATTATCCAGGCTGGCCTCGGCCTCCTGGGCTCAAGGATCCTCTTGCCTCAGCCTCTGGAGTAGTCGAGGCTATACACATACATCACAGCTCTGGCTCAGACCCTCACTCAACTCCAACAATCTGGGCAGTTCCCAGCCATCCTGGTTTGTCCCACTGACTCAGGAAAGGCAGGGGTCTGAATCAGAGATCACTTTAGCCCAACGTCCTTGTTCCCAGGGCCCAGAGCTCAGAAAGGAGAAGTGACACATTCAATGTCACATGGGAAACGAGTGGCAAAGGGAAGGATTGTAACCCAGGCCCCCTCCTTTGCACTAATTTCCGTGGGCACCAAGTAACAAAGCTCTGAGACAAGCAACTGGTGACCTAAGGACACTGAGGAACAAGGCACGGTGGGCGATGGCCCTTGAGGTCTTCTGTCCAACTGAGGAAACAGTACCAGCTAGCCCTTGACCATCATTACAAAGATGCGTTTTGGAGCCCAGCATGGCAGCATGCTTGGAATTCCAGTTACTCTGAAGGCTGAGGCAGGAGGATTGCAAGTTTAGGCCAGCCTGGGCATTTTAGTGACATCCTATCTCAATTTTTTTTTTTTTGTACTAGGGATTGAACTCAGGGGCACTTGAGAAATATCCCCAGCCCTATTTTGTATTTTATTTATAGATAGGGTCTCACCGAGTTGCTTAGCACCTTGCAGTTGCTGAGGCTGGCTTTGAACTCACCATCCTCCTGCCTCAGCCTCCTAAGCTGCTGGGATTACAGGTGTGTGCCACTGTGCCCAACCTGTCTCAAAACTTTTAAAAAGGCCTGGAGATGTAGCTCAGGGGTTGAGTGCCCTTGAGTTCAACCTCCAGTACCAAAAAAGAAAGGAAGGGAGGGAGGGAAAGATGGCGGTAGGGAGGGAAAGAAGGAGGGAGGGAGGGAGGGAGGGAAAGAAAGAAAGACTTCTAAATGCAAGGACCATGATGGCAAAGTTCCCCATCCTGGTCACAAGGTCTCACCTCTTCTCAATTTTCCCAAATAACCACTACTGGCTTCAGCCACCTTGGGTGTTTGGATATTTTCAACTCCCCATTCCAGGCTGCACACCAGGTGCTGGGAAAGGGACAGGCATCCTCATATCACCAGCAGACAATGTCATAGAGAGTGAGACCTTGCCACTTCCTAGTCACCATTCCAGGCCAAGAAGCATGAGTAGGAAGATAAGACAAAGCACACTATCATCAAAGCAGTATGATATCAGCTCTGCAAACAGCAAGAGACTATCCAGGAACAAATTCAGGGTCATAGATGAACATGAAGATAAGTTGAGGGATATGCAGTTTCATGGGAAAGGAGGTGAGTTTTGCCTGGTCATAAGAAGTCAAATCCTGAACCCTATTTTAGACCATATGCAAAAATAAATTTGGGCCGGGAGTGGTGGCTATGCCTGTGATCCCAGTGATTCGGGAGAATAAGGCAGGAGGATTGCAAGTTCAAAGCCATCCTCAGCAATGTAGAGAGACCTTGTCTCAAAACAAAAAATAAAAAGGGCTGGGGATGAGGCTCAGTGGTTAAGTTCCCCTGGTTCAAATTCCTGGTACCAAAATAAAATATCGGGAGTGTGGTAGAGCACTTCCCTAGCATGCACCAGGCCTTGGGGTCCCTCCCTAGCACCACATCAAAGAAAGAAATTTTTTAAATTAGCCAGTTTAAAAATAAATAAGTCACAGTAAAAGGTGAAAATGAACATCCACCAGAGACCTGTGTAGGGGAAGACAGGATTTCTCTTCTACCCTCCTGGGTCTTTGGATGAGACTCATAATTAAATTGACATAAAACAGATTAGCAGGAGACAAGCATGCATGTTTATTTAATATAAGTTCTATGAGACACAAGAGCCCTCAAAAGGAAATGAAGACCCAAAGAAGCAGAGTCCAATACCTTACCTACTGATTTGGACACAATTGTCAATTATAAAAATATAATAAGATAAAGGGGCATGGGCTAGGGCAGTTAATGGTGGAAAAATACCTAGAAATATATAGGTTGGTCTGAACAAATTGTATTTAGCTGTGACTTCTGTCTTCTGAAAAGATGGATATTATTTTCCTCTTGGTTTAGGGAAGGCATCTTTCATCTAGAGGTTTATCTCTTGCATTCAAGAAGCAAAGAGAGGTAAACGCCGTGGAAAAGCACTTGCCTAGCATATGCAAGGCCCTGAGTTCCATCCCTAGCACTGGGGAGCGGGGGAAGCAAAAGAGGTCAGAGAGGCTTCTTACACCTAGTGACTTTCAACAGCTTCTAATTCAGAATAATTTGTATGACAAAGTGGCATATTTGGGGGTGGCACATTCTGCCACCCTTCCCCCTGAGATAAATCATAACGGTTCTATGAGACAAAAAAAGAGAAAGAAAAGAAAAAAGAAATTACCCCAAACTGGAAATAACCCAACATTATTAGCAGATGAAAGTATATACAAACTATGAAACAAGTGTTTAATAGAACATAACTCAATAATAAAAAGGAACATACTACTGGTATCTCATATGTATCATGTAATACAATCAGTGAAAGAGACAAAACTTAAAACCTACATGTCATTTTATTTTGTTTATATGACTTTATGAAAACTATGGAGCAGATGGTGCTAGGTGCAAGGATGAGGAAAGGAACACAAAAAGGTTAAGGAAGTTCTTGGAGATCTGCACTATCTTGGTTTCATAGTTGTGACATGTGTATTACAACAAGTGTCATTATGTAAAAACAAGCTGTTTCCCTGTCTGTAAATTATATCTCAAAGGAAGGAAGAAAGATGAATGGACTAACCTATGGAAGAAAGAAAGAAGAAAAGGAGAAATAAAAGAAAAAACATTAACCTGTTGATCTCAAGCAAACTGAAGAACATACCCACCCTGTGACTAAGCAATGTCATCTTTTGGTAATCTATCCTACACAATAAAATAGCTAGTCTTAAGGATGTTGGTCCAAGGACTT